CTTTTTAATATTGAATTCTATGAGATATATTAAACTAAGGGGATTTATGACTATCGTCAGTCACATAATGTATCAAGGTAAAATTAATTATCCAATGTATCATTAGACATAGTTTATAAGTATATGATTTTATATTTATACATACATACCAACGATATTAGTTATTAAATAGTTAGTATAAAGTCGAAAATATCCTGTATCAATTTCAAAATATTACAGTTCAATACAATTCATGAATTGACGACGATTTTCCAACAAATCCCCCGGTTTAAGTCAACACACACGAGAAATATTACTCGATACCAACCAGACAAAATATGATTGTCAAACGTTTGTGATATTATGCACATATATCGAGAAAATATCTCCAGCGTGCTATTTTCGTACACCGATTTATTCACTTTGTTCATCCATCCTTCTCGCAATTGATACGGAATCCTTTCACTAATCGATGTACTTTAATAAACTGTTATTTTGCCAAGGAATTAACACACTGGAAAAGTTAATCATTCGATTTTAATTTACGACATAGGGTAAATGACTCAATCATGAATGCTGAGTTTGCACCTCACCATTACATTACACAATGCTTACTTAACTTTATCTATTGAGTTTAAAGATGACTTCAAAATTATTTTAGACATTTCACAAAAACTTCCATTAATTACTATATTTGCCTATTACAATATGTATGACTTATAGTTTACACATTAACTATTATTCCTCTATATTCGTAAAAATGATTAGTTTTATGAACGTTTGTAATGTGTTAAATATAATATAAAAATTTTAGTAATTTCATCGATTAATGAGATAATCACAGGCATTGGTGTTAATGAATGGATGATCTAATATTGCTCAATTTAGAGACTTGATTATTATAAATTATATAAATGGTTTATAATATTTATACACGTATTCTGCGACTGCGACCTTTGTGAAAGTGACATACGGTAAAGGGACCTTAACTGTAATACCCATACATACCTAACAGTTGGCTGAGCTTTAAAAAAACTATACTTTGTATTACACAATGTAACAAAAAATAACGCAAAATAAAATTTTCTGAATTAATTAACAGTGAACACTGCTTGTAACTGTATTGAACGACTACAGTTAAGTTGTAAGTTTGTACATCTCACAGCAGAATACCTTTTTCAAAAGGGATCAACCTACCGAGTTAGAAGCACACTGGAATGTTTTGTTAAAAATACAGATAATAAAATACGAAAATAGAGTATTTGAGCGAAAACAAATTAAATTATTGCAAGTATATAATGACGACACTGGCATAATACAGAAAGTAATTAAAAATAGTTTGATACACTATTTGCTTTAAATATATATATTTTTAATAGGTATAATATATTATTTTAAAAGTCAGGTAAATTAATCTAGGTATGTTAATAAATATTATATACAGTACACATTTTTAGTGAGTGTATTACAATACCTAAGTAAAGGTTTCATATTGCAATTTGCATATTATTTTTATTATTTTGCATTACCTAAAAACATCTGGAGTGTGAATAACGTAGGATTAATCCTACGTTCACCTATTCCTTTATGTTTAGGTGAGCAAAAAGTCAATTTATAACGCAAAGTCAAAGGTTTTCTTTTTGGTTAAAGTAAAATTTAATAATTAGAAATAATTTTAATGCAAAATAAGGCACTAAAAATTTACTATCGGAAACATTTATCTTGTTTTTGATAAGATTTTATTTTCTTCATTTAGAACGATCTCAAATTAGTTAAGAATTGTTGCATAAAAACAATAAAAGGGCAACTACACTAAGGCATGTATCCTTGTATGAGTACAAAGTAACAAATATAAACTTTATAGTATTGCAATAAAGTTAGGTATTCCCTTGCATTACATTCAACATCCAAAGCCATCGTCAAGTTATCTTTATTTATTATTTATTTTCTTTGTGAAATCTCAACCAATATTTCAATGTTACGAACATTATATTGAACTTAATTTAAATAATTTCATTTTTTAAATATTTTTATAAGATGGCGATAAGCGAACATTTTTTCATTTAAACTAAACAAATATTGATAACATTTAAACATAAAATTTAGCTTACTTAAAAGTTCGTGGTGACGCGTGCTTCTACAATTCAGTAGGTTCATACATTTGGTAAACCTATCTACAGTTGATTCTTGTTACACAGCCGCAACTTTTATACCAAAATTTTGCTATTATTAATATATAATTTATTTAGTTGTAAAATACAAAGGTTATATTTTTTACTACACATCTAATAAATATGCATTTGCCAGCCATTGTGCATAGTAATAAATATAATATTATAGCTAATCACATCTATAATTTGCCCTTTAAGCACATTTATTTTATTATTAATACACAAACATCCCAATACATTCCTATAACATTATTTAAACCTATTGTATGTTACTATAATATGTTGAATAAAATTATGAATCACATTTTTAAATATTTTCTAAAATTACTACTTCCACAGTTATTAGTACATTCACACACTGACATAATATTTAAAATTATTAAGTTTGCTTTATTTATAGCAGAAAATGTACCAAGTGTAATGGAAAAAATGATTTAATGTATTTGCACGATTCGATTAAAAACCACCTTAAAAAAGACATTGTTAACATTAATTTCCTCTTTGACAAACATTGTAGTTGTTACATTTTATAAAATGTCTTATTCTTATACTTTTTTATTTTTTGTATTCTTTCATTCTACGATTAATATTCATAGTACTTGAAATTACATCGACTACAATGCACTCTAAATATCGAGTTCATATTTTCAACATACCTTAACTTTTCAACATATCTTAGGAACCACATATATCCTATAATCCATTCCGAGCTCTTAAACGTGTTATTTTTAATTTAAATACTTAATAAACCTGTATTTTTTTCTTCGAATCTCTTTTTACCAAAAATTCCGAATGATATTTGTATAAAACAACCAAAGACCAGTAACAACTATATAAGTTTATTGATGTTACATAACATTTTAAAGTAATACGAGTATTTGTGCATTTGGCAATATGGAGCACAAAAATTATAATTAAGTATTTTTTGTTGACTGCGAAAAAAGTTGATTAAGACCTTTATAAATCCTTTTCCAACCGATGCATCAGTCCTGAGAACAAATTTATATAGAAAAAGATTTTAAAAATATCGGGAAGACTGCTTTATTGGCCCCCGGGATGTATATTAATTATTACTAAAAAGCAACGAAGTTTGAAAAGACTCCTATTAATTATTAAAATGGAATCGCGCACGTTGGGCACTAGTATTTTTTTTTTATATAATTGCACAGTCATCGTTCATAATGGATGTTGTTCGTTTGATTGAATTCAAAAGATGTAGGAATAGTTGAGTTTGTTCTGAAAGCGCCACAACTACAACAGCCTGTAGTTTTACAAGGTCTCTCTAACTTTGTTGCGTAGAAGCAAAACTTTTTAAATGGGCTGAATATCAACTTGTCAGTTTTTCATAAACATGAAGTTTAAAGACTTCTTGATATTTGATTTAATAAAGTGCCCTACGATCGCCAAAAAGTCAAATCTCGTTAGTTGTCGTATTTTTGCAGAGTTGCAGAATTAATTTCGATATCGTGTAATTTTTTAAATTTCAATAAAATATCAATCAATGAGCGAAAATCGTAAAAACATTGTATGCCTTATCAAGTAGTTCCTTCAAAATGTGGGAACGAAGCTGCGACTGAGCCATTTGTTCCTTAATAGCGTTAACAGCATTCGACTAAAAAATAGCGACTGTGTTTTAGAATCAACTTGTCAATTATAATAATGTATAATGACGCCTTTACACAGTGTCTGTTTGCTGAAATGTTTGATGTCTAACTATTTCGTTTACTATTATAAATTTATTATTAAATAGATAAAAATATATTATTTCCTAAGGATAGCACGTGTGTAAAGGCGTAGCTATAGTCTATATTAAACCCCACTGTGCAGGAGATTAAGCAATAAATTTAATACAATTAGATAAGTATTCATAAAGGTTGCACAGTAGGGCTCACACCATCGGAATGAAAGAGTAAAGGAGATAGCTTAAACTAAATATATCGCATAAATTGAATACCTTAATAATAAACATAGTACAAAATAAACATACAAATACTTGTTAATGTTTCATAACAGTCAGAACAAAGGGATATGCTCTTCATCATAATTATAAGTTAACTTTGAAAATGTTTGTGACTTGTTATGACTGTTGCGTAACATCAACATAACATCAGGTAACGCGACGCACATCCTACTAAGCTTAAAACTAAGGTTGTGCTGGGCGTCGGTGGGATTATCTGCCGAACATCCCGCGATTCAATAAATAATATGTCACGTGATTTGAAATGCAGGTAGGCGGTAAACGCGCGGTAGCGTATCGCGTAGCGTGTACGCATTACGCACGCCTCGCACGCCACGCACCCACTCGCCTACCGCTAACGATGGCACAACTATCGGCGCACGGCCGCTTTGCGACCGAGCGACATAAAAAAACCTCTCTGTACACAAAGCCTACAAAACTTTTACATAATAAACAACGGCAAATATAAAAAGTTCTCATATTGCAACAAAGAACCGCAACGACAGGCCAAAACATTAGAGATTAAAAATTTCGACAATAAAAAATAATAAAAGGAATTAAAATATAACTTTAAAGCATTAGGTGCAGTGAGTGTTGACTCGGCTACGTTCCGTAGCGATTTTCTTTGGCTTGCAACGCTCTGCGAACACCACCACTCCCAGGGGCGCGCGTCTCGAACATATTAACTAGCACTAAGCGAAACGAACGCTAAATGCGCAATCACAACGTTCAATTCCATAAGGTCACAAATCACAACAACCTACAAACGGAATCACACTTATAAAGTAGAACGCGCGCCTGTTTACGAATGCACCTGTTCAAATAGAACGTTTCTCGGTTTGTTTATTCTGGTTGCGATTTCGCTTCGGGGGAGTGGTAGGTTGGTTCACCGGCTACGCGTGGCGTTTCGCATGGAGCGCTAGATGGTCTGAGCGCGAAAAGCAACGCTCGCAGTGACGACAGCGGAAGGGTTTAGCGCCAGTGTGCTTGCGATAGTGTCTCGTCAGCTCGTCGGAGCGGGCAAACCGCCATTCGCAACCTTCCCATGAACACTTGTACGGCTTCTCACCTGTAACCACACGGGATTTCGTTTTGAGTCTGATAATTTTTAATATTAAATACTAATCTAATTTGATTACAAAAATACACAAACGAATGTCACTTAGCCTATGTATAGTAACGAAAATTTTATTTCGACTTTTCTCTGTTTTAGTCGGAGGCTTTATAATTATCGAGTTGAAATGGGTCTTCAGTTGGACGTGTCCCAAAATTGAGGATTTGGCGTAATTGCGAGGCCTTGCAAGCAGTATACTGGTTATAATACCTGCCGGGCAGACGACTGTCTGTCACAAAAGGTTTTCTCTGAGTGTGTTTCATTTGAACGATCTTTTGGCACAGTTATGAAATGGGTTTCAGAATGTCATCAGACTACCTCGTTGGTCTACTAGGGGTCTTAAACACGAGTGCTGATCGTGAGGTCTCAGATTCGAATCCCGGTTGCGGCAAAATCAGTTACTACGATTTTCTGTCGAGGAAAACATATTTGTAATGGTTTTTAAACCTCAATTAAAAACTTTTTTTTTCTAATTTGATTTCCATGTTTCACACGTGTTATATTCCGAGTTCACTGACGGTGCCTCACAATCATATTTTTATTTCGCGGTATTTTTAACTCGTCGGACGCGGATCGTTTTATACCACAGATGAAAAGAGAGCACAGAAACATACCGGATAAACGTACTGTCGCCAATCATTTCAATGTAACACCCACGCGTAGCAATTTGCAATACAAATTCGTACAGTGCTTTTGGCATCATGTAGTGTCAATTTCAGTCTTTTTTATGGTGACTAGCGAGCCGGCCTGGCTTCATGAGTAATCTTCATGAGAAATCGAAGATTAAGCCTGAAGTGTTTCAAAGTTTTTCGGATAAAATAGCTTAGATCATTGCTCTCTCTCTCCATCTATCTGTTCGTGAAGTTTTTTCACAATCGGTTAGCTGAAGATTAGCCCGGACAGACCGACAGACAAAACTTTAGGAAGATTAGATTATGATTAGGCATGAATAACGAAAGGCATTCCATTCTTAATAGCAATCTAGAACATCTGTGTTCGATAAAAGGCAGTTATTTCGACATTATAGACCGACACAACAATTGTATTTATATGTAAAGATATAATTAACTTAATAAAAAATTAAAACCGACCTCAAAGAACTAAAACGAATATAATCCTCGAAAACGGTTGAAGTGGTAAAGAATTATTTTCCCAAATGCCGTGCAGAGTGACTGCAACTTGAAGTTTTATCATGGTTCCATGGTTTCCATCGCGTCTTGATCAAATTTATATGGGAGCACTCCTGAGATACCCTTTACTTTAACAAAAAAATAATAATTGTAATCGGACTGTGTGGTAAAGAATTATTGCTGATCATACATAAAGTATTTCCACGCATTCAGAACCTACTCCTTTTTTTGTCGGTTGAAAATTAAATTAGTTTGAAAAAGTCCTAATTAATTGTTTAATATACTGCGCTACTTGACACTATAATAAATATTTAAAGGGATAATAACATAACAATGTGGACATACTACATTAATTATCAACGAATTCATTCCTTGCAATAGAAATAAAATAAACATAATTAGATTAAACTATGGGAGAAAATCCGTAAATACCAGTTTCATTCAATAAGTAATATAATTTTAATGATTTTTTTCACTAAAAAACCCACGAACCCGTTAAACGAGCTGTTAAGGTGGATCTAAAGCTGAACGCACATATGTCCGCACCGTACGCATCGTACGCGCCGCACGCGCCGAGTTTTACTGATGGCCTCGCACATTTGCCCATACGCATCGTCCGCACCGTCCGCAAATATTTTGTATTACCAACAACTTTTGTAGTTTTTTCCAACCACTGGTGTAAAACGGTACATTGGAATTGATCGCCCGCAATCACTATGGAAAGAAATATAGTAATAGCCTGCTTATGGGCATAGGAAGAAGAAAAAAAAATATGGATAAAAAGAAGATTCTGGATTCATAATATTATTTTAAAAAGGCAATTTTATGGAGAATATGAAGGGGATATACTTAATTTAAAGATTTATTAGGTGATTATTTATTAAATAAATAAAATAAAATAAATAAATAAATGATGAACGATTTTTTAGATATTTACATTTAACATACAAGAAACTTCAACAATTGTTACATGTACTAAAACCATATCTTTCTATGGAAAACTCAAGATTTAGAAGACCAATTGAACTAGTAAAAAGATTTTTTGTATGTTTGAGGTTAGTATTTTATTGATAATTAAGTAATCAGGCATAATTGTGTTTTGGAAATAAAATTTAACCATTTTTTTTAGTTCAGTGTGTAAATAATTTATCACTAAGTATTCATATTGATAATCGATGTAAAAAATCAAATTATGTATAATTAATTACGAATTAATTAAAAGTTATAAAAATACAAAAATCCACTAAGTTGGCAACATTAGACAACACTGAGTATCAGCACGCGCCGCGTTATATGACGTCATCAGCATTCATCCTTCGATATCGTATACCTACCGCATTTTATAAAATTCGGCGCGTACGGTGCGGGTGTAATGTGCGAGGTTTCATATGATTTTATACAACGAATTCTAAAATTCGGTGCGTGCGGCGCGTACGGCGCGGACATATGTGCGTTCAGCTTAAGGCGTTATATCTAACAATTTATAATTTGTACAAACGATTTACATTTTAGATTTTTTCAAATTTATTTTCGATAAACAAATAAAGTTTACAAAATTGTACAATTTAAACAAAAAATATTTAACAGTGTTACTTTTACATTTTGTACTTTTATAAAACGGTATTTACTGTACAATTCAGGCAATATGTCACTTTTTTTATAATTTTGTCGGATTGTAAGGTATTCGCATATATTAGATAGGATCTTCTTTTAATTGATGATTAATTATTATTTGTAACTCTGTGCTGTGACCGGTACGCGATGCAATGCGTTTATCTTAGAAACAATAACTCACCAAAGTTTCGTCGTAATCGGATTAATGGTACGGTATACGAGGAACAAAGAAACATTCATCTTATCTAAAAATAAGATAAAGCTTAATTGAAGAGGTCGTATTTTAGATAACACTGTATTTCTCCTTGTATATTTTTTAAATAATGTTTACTGTACTGAAATATAAAAAGGGGCTACAAAATTTAGTTCCAGTTATATTAATTTATCTATAAACATATATACATAAAGATAGATGCAAGCATCTATCTTTATGTTTAAAGTAATGCAGAAATCTTTATGTATAGTAGAATTATTTTAAGAGCAAAATTATACGGAATGTTCACACGATAATTGAAGCGAAGCTATGTTTGTGAAAGGAAGCGTTAATATCAACACGCTGTATTTGCCAATTCATTTAACGATGGATCAAAGAAGTGCTGACGGTCAGAATGCGTGTTTGAAAAATTTAAACTAATCTTGCTTGATTGGCTTCTGTTTCCCTTAAATATATTTTAGCTCTTGTCACATATAAAAATTTATACATGAAATAAATGTGTTCAAAAGTTACGAAACTTTTGAAAAGTTAGTTTAAAGTTTCTGGGTAAAATAAAAACATTCTTTTTTTGTATTTAATATTTTTATAAAATAAAATAAAAAACTGAAGCTAAAGTCAGTTAGCTAAAGTTACAAAAAGAAGCATTATTTTTTGGATTTTGTCTATCTGTGTTACCCGATTCAAGTAATAATAACAGAACGACTTTCCGTGACATTTGATATAAAGGTAGTAAATGATCCTAATTATCAACTACAAAATAACTACTGGCAACTATGGGTACTATTACTATCTACAAGTATGGGAGGTCAATGTTGAGCAGTGAACTTTGATAGGCTGAAATGATGGTGATGATGATGAATACAACATATACATCATCATCATAATCAGAGTATATGTTTTCATATGACAAATGCAAATGCATAGCAAAAAAACATTACTTATTTATTTTTTCTTAGTATATAACTTCATTTTCATAATTGCTTCTAATTATTCTATTATTCATAAGGGTGTCCACCATAAGAAACACCCTTATGAATAATACAAACAGTATAGTCGTAGAACTCCTAAAGATGTTAGAAGGCCTTTAAAACAGCACTTCGTATAAAAATAAATTAAACGTATTATTTTTCCTTTTTGTTTTTGTTTTCTCGTTCATATATAATAATAATAGAAGCATATTAATTAGCTTATATCTCGTAGTGGCGTATAAGAGTGTCCACTATATAAATATTATTCCATAGATGTCGTAAGTATAAGAGAAGGGCAGCACCATCTTAAAAATAATGCAATCTATAGGGGAGGCTTGCGTTCAGCTTTTCAGCATATGTTCAGCAGTGCACTTTTAATAGTCTGTAATAGACGTAAAAGAGAAATATTTTGTCATAAGTTACGATAAAATTAAAGCGAATTTATGAAATGAGTTGAGAACATGACCTAATAAATAATATGCCTTTTCATTGGATATATTGTCCCTTATATTTATAAATATAGAATCACTGTGATTTTAATAGTATGACGAATCTTATGTATTTTTTTATCAAGTCGGAAGGAGAGAGGGGAAATTTAAATTGGTATTAGAAAATTGTAAATATGAAATCACACAAGCAGCCTTTAATGTTAAATGTATTAATAATTCGTATATTTTTGTAATTAGAGCTGCTAGTTGCATGTGTCGATTTGGGTGCGTTGCATTTTAGATACAATAAAATAGAATAGTATAATTTTTATTCAATATTGATCACATGTATGTAATCCTTATTGAAAGTCATTTTTACTTTACCACTGGTTCGGAAAAAGAAACCTCTGTCCTGGGAAAAAACAGCAAGAAACCTAGCGGGACTTTAAGATTATACAAACTTTATTTTTATATTCTACTAAGCCAGCGCTTAACTACAATCCTGCCTGATAGTAAGTGGTGATGTAGCCTAAGATGGTGAAGCGCACTGACTTAACAAAAGCCTATTCACTCTTCCCTTGAAGACACCCACACTGTAATC